TGAAAAATAAAATAAGTTAACATATTTACATTGTATCTAATCATAAGAATATGGAAACGTAATATGTGTTAAACATTACTAAAGATTTGAAGAATAGAATATATATAAGTTAACGTGTTAACATTGTATCTAATCATAAGAATATGGAAACGTAATATGTGTTAAACATTACTAAATATTTGAAGAACAGAACACATATAAGTTAACGTGTTAACATTGTATCTAATCATAAGAATATGGAAACGTAATATGTGTTAAACATTACTAAAGATTTGAAGAATAGAATATATATAAGTTAACGTGTTAACATTGTATCTAATCATAAGAATATGGAAACATAATATGTGTTAAATATTACTAAAGATTTGAAGAATATAACATATATAAGTTAACGTATTAACATTGTATCTAATCATAAGAATATGGAAACGTAATATGTGTTAAACATTACTAACGATTTGAAGAATATAACATATATAAGTTAACGTATTAACATTGTATCTAGTCATATATAAAGTAAGATGAGGTGGTTCCAATGATAATGTTTTTAAATAATACAATTTTTTATTATAACATTTTCAAAGCCAAGTAAATTTTCTAATTCATCAAATTAAATGCTTGCCACTACATCTTAATTATTGACCAATGTATTAGCTTATTCGAAAAGATTACCACGGGTACCTCTTAACCAAACTACAGTGAAAGTTTAAAAAAACTGATACCGGTACCCTTTAAACAGCGTTAAAATAAATAATATTGTGTTTTTAATTCATGCCTATACAGCTGATTTATAAACGATCTAAATAAAATAGATAGTAATTAAATTCACTTACATATTCTGATTCACACCCCTAACAATTGTTAATCATGAAAATTAACGATATATATATAGCGCTCACAGCGGCGGACCGTTTCTACGTTTTCTCGTATCCTAGCCGACCCTGGTATTGGCGAAAGGCCTTGTCGATACTGTGTATAGATAATATTTTATAAAGTACCTTCCTTATAAAACGCCCCCCCCCCCCAGTGGCACAGCGGTATGTCTGCGGACTTACAACGCTAGAATCCGGGTTTCGATACCCGTGGTGGGCAGAGCACAGATAGCTCATTGTGTAGCTTTGTGCTTAACTACAAACAAACAAACAAAATCAACTGGTTTGCCCCCCAGTGTCACAGCGGTATGTCTGCGGACTTACAACGCTAGAATCCGGGTTTCGATACCCGTGGTGGGCAGAGCACAGATAGCCCTTCGTGTAGCTTTGCGCTTAACTACAAACAAACAAATCCTTATAAAAATTAGTCTTCGAGTTCACTAGTATTTATTATAAACGTTTTTTTTTTCTGTTTAAGTTAGTGTGGTTGACTTATTACAATATGTTCGTTCTCCTTTGCTTTAGAATTTTAAACCGAGTAGCACGTAAGTTCATTAAATTAAATTGGTACCGGTTCTTTTTAAACTAATTACTTTGTAAGATGATAAATAATTTACTAATACTTTTCGTTAAACATGTATTGATTTTTGATAATTAGGAACTGTAATTAAGTATGTTTTCTTTTCTTTTTTTTGGAGGGGGGGCAATCTAATTTTTTCTTAGACCTTTGATACTTAATCTCACATCCGTTACACCTGGAGTATCCTAGAACAGCCTAATGAGGAAAATAGTCTCCAACAGGAGGCTTCTTTCTGGCTGTTCCGCGCCATAAACAACGTTGCTGGAACATATTTACTGCTTCAACCGTTTCTAAGGATTGGAGAATTGCTAATGTTACTTGTATTGATAAAGGGGGTGATAAGAGTTGTCATGGAAACTACAGGCTGGTTATTCTTACATCTGTAGCTGGAAAGCTAAAAAGAGAAAAAAAATAGAGAGTTTGATAAATCAAGCTTCCTCAAATCATTTAGTTGAAACAGATGGTGTCATAAAAGATAGCCACTAAAGGGATTCACTAAAGGGACGTCTCGCCTTAACTCATATTTTAACTCTTTTTTTTGAGGATTTTAACTTGTTATTTGGATGATGGAAAGGTTTTGGATTTGGTGTACTTAGATTCTCAAAAGGCTTTTGATAAAGTGTCTCGCAGAAAATTATCGAAGAAAATCACATTGGTAGGAGATAAAGAAAGATTAGATAATTGGACTGCAGGGTGGCTGAGTGAGAGAATGGAAAAAGTTATTGTCAATGGAGTTCAGTCGTAATAGGCCCTTGTTACTAGTGAAATGCTCCAGGAGTCAGTGCTTGGGCGTTTTTTTATTATTTTTTTTATTTATATCAATGACATTTAGGGGGAAATTAATTAATAAACAGGGAAAGGTTGATGATGACATTTCTACCCGTATTGAGGGCATTGAGGTATTGCAGGGTGACTTGGATAAATTGATAATAACTTAAACAAATAGTTAGCCAATGACTTTTAATACAAGGCAATAAATTTGGGTCACACGTTGAATATATATGGGTATCAATTCAATATCGTGACTGAAGAAACTGGCTGGTCTTACCACAGTGGTAGATAAGTCGTCACCAGGCCATGCTAGGCCATTTTATAGGGATAGGTTATGATTTCTTGTTTTCTCGGTGAGAAAAGGAGGAAAACGAATGAAGTTTATAAACTTATTGATAAGTCCAAGGCACTTGGTTGTTTTATCATGTACTCTGAAGGCAACAGAACGAGAAGACACAAGTGTAAGATTTAGAAAGGCTCTAATTAAGATAGTTTTATGTTTCAAACAAGGTGTGAAGACTAACCCTTGTTGTTCGTGGAAAAGGAATGATTGTTTGTTGAAGTTTATAAACTTATTGATAAGTCCAAGGCACCATGATAAAAAACCAAATGCCTTGGACTTATCAATAAGTTTATAAACTTCAACAAAAAATCATTCCTTTTCCACGAACAACAAGGGTTAGTCTTCACACCTTGTTTGAAACATAAAACCATCTTAATTAGAGCCTTTCTAAATCTTACACTTGTGTCTTCTCGTTCTGTTGCCTTCAGAGTACACGATAAAACAACCAAAACTCTGAAGGCAACAGAACGAGAAGACACTAAGTTTTAGGAAGATGTAGTCTTATAAATATTCACGTATAAATAATCGTATTTATCTTTTTTTGTTTCTTATTTTTGTTGTTTGTGATAATAGTATTTACGTTGTGTTCCCCTGATGATTTCTTTGTTAGTTTTACATTGATTGTTCATACTTGACAGCTGTGTTATTGCTATCAAATATTTTTATTCCCTAAATACAACACACACACACTATGTGATGTAATCAACGAACCCTTGATTTCCATGTTTAAGTGTATTTTATCTCATAGAGGGCAGCACGTTCGGCGTGAACGTCTGAGAGGTTTTGCCTTAATGCCTACATATGTGCATTTTGGAACCTCCAGGCTGAGCGCGCTGGCCCACTTTGGAACTCAGTTGTGACGGTGTCGAACCCGCATGCGCAAATTGCATACCACAGAATAGCACATGGTAAGGTTGTCGCGGCGGCCGGGCATTTGGCCAGCCTTGGTCTTGACTGGAACAGTCGACAAATTCGCCCGTCCTTGACGTCGTCCACACGCCGCAGAAATCCTCAGAAACATTCTTACCAGAAGTGGCTATAGGTACCTGAAAAATCCACGCTACTGTCTGTGTAAGATTTGCACGTTTTACGTTGAAGGCATTTATTCAAGTACTATTTTAGTTTCAAGGTGGGATATATCCATTCTGTTTAACTTGCTTCTAGCTTTCCAACCCTTTAACGTTTGTGTCGGGGGGACTGCGTGACGTCAGAAGGCAGCAGAGTGTCCTATCTGACCACTCGGGGTCAGTGTGGACAGTCAGTCAGGGAAGCTGTAGTCTGTCTGACATGACCTCAATTGTTGAACGGTTGGAGTGCAGCTGTTGTCCACTTGTAAACTGGTAAGTTGAGTTTGTTTTCTCAGAATCAAACATAATTTCAGTGATTCGTGTTACGGATTTGTAATTACTAGGTTTAGTGAAGGAGACAAAGCTAGTTTAAATATAGTTCTTGTTAAATTATTTTTTCTTTTTTTAAGTAAACTGAGTTTTAGCTGAGCCTCTAGCCGAAAACAAGTATACAAAATTATAGGTACTACCCATTTGTATTACCATAGCAATGGAGTTGGTCGATGCGATTTGTCTGCTGATAAGAAATTTATGATGACGTGAGAGTTTTTTTAGGAACCAACTTACATAACAGTTGTTTATCAATGTGATATATATATATATTGCAGGAGCCACCCCCACCCCCCCTCTAATAAATATCTAGCGGTATTGCTAGAAATTATAATTTCGATTTGAAACATTTTTACGACGTCGGATTATTGAAAGAATTGTTAGTTATTTAGAGGAGATCTACTGAATTCTTATTTTACTTCACGAGTGTGGCTAAGAACTTTAAAATAATATCATTTGATCTCTTAATGGTTTGATGAGTTTTGATTATATTTTATGTATAACAATACACGATTGATTCTGTTAATCCTGTTCATTGATGTACTATAGTATCTGTTGTATGGTAATACACGATTGATTCTGTTAATCCTGTTCGTTGATGTACTACAATAATATCAATGAACAGGATTAACAGAATCAACAGCGTATTGTTATACAACAGATACTATAGTATATCAATGAACAGGATTAACAGAATCAACAGCGTATTGTTATACAACCCTGTTCATTGATATACTATAGTATCTGTTGTATAACAATATACTGTTGATTCTGTTAATCCTGTTCGTTGATGTACTACAGTAATGTTGTATAACAATACGCTGTTGATTCTGTTAATCCTGTTCATTGATATACTATAGTATCTGTTGTATAGTAATACACGATTGATTCTGTTAATCCTGTTCATTGTTATACTATAGTATCTGTCGTATAACAATATACTGTTGATTCTGTTAATCCTGTTCATTGTTATACTATAGTATCTGTTGTATAACAATATACTGTTGATTCTGTTAATCCTGTTCGTTGATGTACTATAGTAATGTTATATAACAATATACTGTTGATTCTGTTAATCCTGTTCATTGATATAGTATAGTAATACACGATTGATTCTGTTAATCCTGTTCATTGTTATACTATAGTATCTGTCGTATAACAATATACTGTTGATTCTGTTAAACCTGTTCATTGTTATACTACAGTAATGTTGTATAACAATACGCTGTTGAT